ACGATTCTAAAATTCTCTTCTCGATTATATGCGTGATGGAGAACGCGCGCGTGCTTCTCACTCACTCGCTCCCTTTGCTCTCTCTCTCTCGTCATCGAGTTGTGTATTAGCAGTATCTGACTTTTATAGCGCAAACAGCGAGGAATTTCAAGGAACATTCCAACCCGAGTCGGATGAAATATCACTGGGGAAGAAAAAGACTCCTTCTACTCTTCATAAGCGCGAAGAAGCAAGTTCAAGGATATATCCCCTCTCTTCAAACGACAGTGAGACCATTGAACCCAAAATCCCGTATCTTCTCAACGCTGAGGTCCTTACACAGCTTCTTGTCACAAATCCAAGCGAAAATTTACCTTCCGCCTCCCCGACTCATAGTGCCCCTTGTCGTGTTTCATTTGGCATGAATAAATGCGATGACACGCGTGGGTCAACCACTATATGTATATGTGTGTAAATAAATCTTTAGTCTTCTCTAGACAAATTAATGCACCTGTTACCTTACACATCCAGAATTTCAAAAAAAATTACGCTTATTAATCACGGGGACGCATGATTATTCCCCAAATGTAATTTTTCCGAAATCTCATTTTACCGAACTGCACTTTTGCGAATAGTCATTTTTGCGAAAGGTCATTTTTGAGAAATGTCATTTTTACGAATTGTCACTTTTGCAAATTCCCATTTTTACGAATTGTCATTATTGCGAAAATTCCTAAAGTGAATCTATATATGCATACAAGTTTACTATAGTAATTTTCGCAAAAATGACTTTTTGCAAAATTGACAATTTGTAAAAATGTCGATTCGCAAAAGTGACAATTCGCAAAAATTAGTTAGCAAAAATGACAATTCGTAAAAATTATATTTCACAAAAACGGCTTTTCGAAAAAATGACATTTCACAAAAATGTCTTTTCGTAAAAATGGCGATTCGCAAAAATGACCTTTCGCAAAAAAATAGCTTTTCGCAAAAATGACAATTCGAAAAATTGGCTTTTTCGCAAAAATGGCAATTCGCAAAAATGATATTTCGTAAATATTACAATTCGAAAAAATGACGTTTCGGAACAATAACGATTCGTAAAAATGACAATTCGCAAAAATGACCTTTCGCTAAAATGACAATTCGCAAAAGAGCAATTCGGTAAAATGACATTTCGGAAAAATGACATTTGGGAAATAATCATGCGTCCCTCGCGAATCGCCATTTTTACGAATTGACACTTTTGCGAAATGTCATTTTTGCGAAATATAATTTTTACAAATTGGCATTTTTACGAACTGCCATTTTTTCGAATTGGCATTTTTTCAAATTGTCATTTTTGCGAATCGCTATTTTTACGAATTGTCACTTTTGCAAAAAGTCATTTTTTCGAATTGACATTTATGCGAACGGACATTTTTTCGAATTGTCATTTTATAACGAAATGTCACTGTTGCGAATTGTCATTTTTGCGAAAATTGGTATAGTAAACTTGTATGCATATAAATATATATAGATTTACAATAGCAATTTTCGCAAAAATGACAATTCGCAACAGTGACATTTCGTAAAAATGACAATTCGAAAAAATGACAGTTCGCATAAATGACAATTCTTAAAAATGTTATTTCGCAAAAAATGACTTTTCACAAAAGTGACAATTCGTAAAAATGACAATTCGTAAAAATGACAATTCGAAAAAATTGCAGTTCGCATAAATGACAATTCACAAAAGTGACAATTCGTAAAAATGGCAATTTACAAAAATGATATTTCGTAAAAATGACGTTTCGGAACAATAACGATTCGTAAAAATTACAATTCGTAAAAATGATATTTCGCAAAAGTGACAATTCGTAAAAATGTCGATTCACAAAAGTGACATTTCGTAAAAATGACAATTCGAAAAAATTGCAGTTCGCATAAATGCCAATTCACAAAAATGACAATTCGCAAAAATGATTTCGCAAAAATGACAATTCGTAAAAATGATATTTCGTAAAAATGACAATTCGAAAAAATGACGTTTCGGAACAATAACGATTCGTAAAAATGACAATTAGTAAAAATAATATTTCACAAAACTGACTTTTAACAAATGTGACAATTCGTAAAAAATGCTGATTCGCAAAAGTGACATTTCGTTAAAATAACAGTTTGAATAAATGCAATTCGTTAAAATGACTTTTCGCAAAAGTGACAATTCGTAAAAATGGCAATTCGCAAATGTGACATTTCGTAAAAAAAAACAATTCGAAAATATTGCAGTTCGCATAAATGACAATTTGCAAAAATGAAAATTCGTAGAAATGACTTTTTGCGAAAGTGACAATTCGTAAAAATGGCAATTTCTCAAAAATGATATTTCGTAAATATGACAATTCGAAAAAATGACGTTTCGGAACAATAACTATTCGTAAAAATGACAATTCGTAAAAATGATATTTCGCAAAACTGACTTTTCGCAAATGTGTCAATTCGTAAAAATGGCGATTCGCAAAAGCGACATTTTGTTAAAATAACAGTTCGAATAAATGCAATTCGTTAAAATGACAGTTCAATAAAATGACATTTGGGGAATAATCATTCGCCTCACCTATATAATTTCGCTTAGAAGGAAAGTATTAAATCATAAAATTGTGGCGAATTTTTATGTCAAAAGTTTAACAATTCATTTGTAAATAGTAAAATAAAAAATTTAACCCAAATTTCAAAAACTTAACCCTCGGAGAACCCATGGGGTCATTGTGACTCCACGTTTTTTTACGAAAAGCTTATTATCTATTGTTTAATATTTTTTATAAGGATTTTAAAGTATACAGACTTATTTTACAGAGTTTAAACTATATTTAAAAAAGTTCTTCAGTTTGATCAGATGAACAGTTTAAAATTGGTTGAGCTTTGAAAAATAATCTAAAAAAGAGGTATGTTCTCCGAAGGTTAATAAAGGGGTAAAGTTGCAATTTTTAAAAATCATTTTATGAATTATTTATTTTTGTATTTAAATAATTGAATTCTTCTATTTGATTTCTGATAAGAATTGATTTAAAAAATATTTTTAATTAAAACTTTAGAAAATAGTTAGAAGTGTTAAAGAAGGATTCTTTGGAAATAATTAAATTAAAATTTAATTTATTTAAAACAAGTTTTTAAATTGAAATCTTTGAAATTCTAATTAGTAATTTTCATCTGTAAAATAAAACTTTTGTCCTTTAATAAATTAATATTTACAGAAACCAGTATATTGTTCTGAAAACAAATATACACTAAGAAATGTATACTTTCAGAATAGTTTCTTATTCTTTGGATATTAAAACAATTTCTCCACTTTCATAAATTAAATACAATATGTACAGTACCTGAAACTGCTTTAGACAGGTAATGATTAATTTATTGCAATTTTCCTTTTTTCTTCATTTTTTCTCTTAAATTTATCTCTCTTTCGATCTTCAGGTGAACAAGAGCGACAACATGCTTGTATCAACGCGAAATGAATCTCTGACCTTCAGAGGTGCTTCATCGTTTCGAGCACCTGGCCTATAAATCATGAGGGAACGTTTCCGTACTCCTCGTCACCGTGAGCAATAATAAGCTGTAGGTGAATCTCCACTGTGCTTCTACATTGAATATAACCTTCAAAAAAACGACATGCCAATAACTGAAACACTTCAATGCAATGCCCTTCCTGATCGATAATAATATTTTTTTCCTCGACATTTTTGTCTCCGGAAACATAATTCTTACTGTCACACAATGATTTTCAATTCTTTATTTATTGTTTGTCCGAAATTTTTTTTAATGGAAAATTTTTTTTTTTTTACTGTTTTAGGCCCACAATTAATTTTCAATTGAACTACTTATGACAAACTGTTTATAAGCATAGTTCTATTGTATCCAATAGGACTACTGTTTGTGCGAACTTTTAACTTGATCCCAATCATTTCAAATTATTATTGAGAAAAAAACAGGAACAAAATTAATTGTTTAAATAATGGTTAAATAATAAATTGTTAGGTTTTCTATTATACTTAAGGGTGTAAGTTATAAAAAATTACACAATTGAGAAAAAACTATGAATTTCTACAGTTTATAAAAAAAATAACAACAATTTAAACTATTCTTTAAACATTTTTTAAACAATTAATTTTTTATCATGACAAATTGCACAATTAAAAAAAAACAAGAAAATTTTATGAAAAAAATAAAAACAATTATTTTGTTTGCGATCTTCAAATCTATACAAAAAAATAAAGCTAGATAAATTTTGCATCGAACGTTCATCTCGAATTTTTGAAAAAAAATTATTTATTGAAATATTTAATAAACAAATAGAAAAAATAATTTTTTTTCTATTAAGGAGTACCATTTGTTTTAAATGATTAGACTTTGTTCTAAAATCGTTTAAATTACTGAAGAAGATATCAAAAAATATTTTTAGCAACATTGTTATTAAAATAAAATTTTTTATTTTGTTATAAACAAATAAATGGAAGATTATAGTTTCATCGTTTTTATAAACATTGTTTGAAATTTTTTGAACATAATTTGACCAAATTGACTGAAGATCAAGCCTATAAAGTATTTTTTAAAAAATCTATTTGTTATTTATAAAATTAATAACAATTAATAAACAATTATGACGTTATTGACTTTGAGATTAACAAAAATTTTATTTTCTAAGCAGAATAAATTGCTAATTATAGTATTATAAGCCTGAATTTATATACTTACTTTCTAAGGGTGCTTCATAATTGTTTAAACAAATCTTAATTAACAAATTCACTGTTTCGACATTTATTAACTTAAAAAGTTCGTTTCTTCAGTGTTACGTGTATGTAAGACCTTATTTTATAATGTTTTGCAACATTGATTAATTAATACCAATCTAATAATTATTTAAACAATTTTTAGTTAACAAATATACTATTTAGACTTTTGTGAATGTAAAAACTTCGTATCCTTGCCATTTTTGTTTAAAATGAAAAATTTTATTATTATTACAATATTATTTGTTTAGTAACTGTATTACTTTCTTTAATAATATAAAAATTCATGCTCAAACTGCTTCAATGTTGCATGTAAAATTTCCACTTAAATTTTGGAGCTCACGTCGATGAACGATTCTCAAGCTATTTCCACTTGACTTTGTGGTAAATGTTTTAAAACCACAATACATATCAGGCAAACTTGCTACTCCTTGTATAAAATTTGTGTACACATCAAGACTGTGACTGGTACAAGTTTCCTAGAAAATGTTTAAAAAAAACATTAAATAATTAATTTTATTTATTTAAATAGAAAGTAATAATGAATAACTCACTGATGGTAAATTCACTGTGCAATTTAGTTCAAAATGAGACTTTTCAGGAGAATTAAAATCCCAAGTACATCTAGTACTTTCCGTGTCTAATTCATTGTAACCCTCATTAAACAATATCTTTTTTTCTCCAACTTCTAAATTAACACCTCCATGACAAACTATAAATGAATTTGCTTCATTTATGAGAAAAATTATAAGCAAACAGTAGGGAAGAGACAAAATTCCTGCTGGAATGGAAAATTTGTTTCGATTAATAATTTTGAAAAAGATTTTATTAAATAAATGAAACATATGGGTCAGACCAGCTCAACTGTGTTAAAAAAATTTCATTGATTTTCTAAAATGTTAAAACTTTTATGAAAATCGGTCCTTCACAACAAAACAAAAAAACACTTTTAACCGTTTTTTGAAATTTTTGTTATTGTTTTTGCATTAACAAAATAATACAACATTTTAAAAAAAAATTAATAACTCAAAAGCCGTTTACAATAAATTAATTAAACTTATATAGATTACACAAAATTGTTCACTCTTTTAAAAGAAAATATTTGCAAGATTGTAAATTTAAAAATTGCATATTTTTAACAACAATTTGAATTATTTATGTGTTCTAACCCTCCAATTGTAATGAAACTCATAGGTTTCAGGATACAAATATTATTTGTTTTTAATAATTTTTTTTAAATGAAAGTTTATAATATATTTCCTACTGTGGAGTTGGCGCCCGTTTTTAATAAAAAATTCGTAATGTACCTACATTCCAAATTAAAATTATAAAATTTTTTTTTTGGGGCTTCAAGAAGAGACTACTGAGTACACTTCCTATGAGTTTCATTGCAATTGGAGGGTTAGAACACATAAATAATTCAAATTGTTTATAAAATTGTTATTAAAAATATGCAATTTTTAAATTTACAATCTTGCAAATATTTTCTTTTGAAAGAATAAACAATTTTGTGTAATCAGTGTAAGTTTCATTAATTTATTGTAAACGGCTTTTGAGTTATTAATTTTTTTTTAAAAATGTTGTATTATTATGTTAATGCAAAAACAATAACAAAAATTTAAAATTTCAAAAAACGGTTAAAAAAGTGTTTTTTTATTTTGTTGTGAACTACCGATTTTCATAAAAGTGTTAACATTTTAGAAAATCAATGAAATTTTGTTAACATACTTGAGCTGGTTTGACCCATATTAATAGCTTTTGTTATGAAAAATTCAATTTATAAATATATTTAAGCAATTCAGCTTCTATGTTGAAAAACAATTTAATATTTGAATATTAAATTTAAAATGCGTAATTGTTTACAATTAGTTTTTAAAAATAGAAAATTAATGGAAAATTATATTACCAGAGATAGATGTTTTTCCTGATTGTTTTAGAAACATTTTGATTAAAAGAAAAAAACTTTTTTCAATAAATTACAATTACTATGCGTATATATGACTGTTGTCTGTTTGTACTTTGAAATTTTTTTCTAACCTTTTATAGTCTAATCCCCTGGTCTTATTAGTAAAATAATCGGTTTCTTATTAGCTCAGTATCAATATTTGTTGTTTGCGAAGCGAAAAAATATTTCCATTAAAAATTATTATCATAAAAGAAAAATTTGACTTAATTTAAAAATAGGTTCAACACAAATAAAATCTTATTGATTTTCAAATAAAAATTAAAATAATATTTTTAAAATTCAAAATGGTCGACAGTTCATAAATATATATTTTAAATAGGGAAAAAATTATAATCTACTTTTATTTCTAAAAGGTATTATGAAATATTATTTTAATATTTGGATTAAAATTAAAATAAAGAATTAAGATTATAAAAATATCTACTTATTTACATACACGTGTCAAAAATTTAGGGTTAATGTAGGACAGTCTTTTAATTGAGATTAAATGTTTACTCTGCAAATATTTCCCTTTAGAAGATAATGCAAATTAACAGATTTTACAATTTAACATTTGAGGCCTTGGATCCAATAACTCGCCCGACGCTCGGAGGAACGCGCAACTGCCAGTCAGTGAGCAGTGAGCGCCTCTGGGCCACTCACTGCTACCCGACTGGCATTAGCGCGTGTCTCCGAGCGTCGGGCGAGTTATTGGATCCAAGGCCTCATTTAGTCTCCGCTGTGTTAAAAGTCATTTATATTTACAATTTAATTATATATAATATATAATTAATATATATAAATAAATTTTATAATTTATATAAAAGAAAAAATGATTAATGAATTTTTGCCTCTTTGCAATTTTTAAATATTATATTTATCTTTGGAATAAAAATAAAGTAAACAATCATGAAAGAATATCAATTTATTAACATACACGTGTCAGAATATAGGGTGATGGTACGATAGTTACATATATATTATATACAAATTTTAGATTTAAATATTTCGGTACAAACAAAAAATAGTATTAATTATGTCAGTCAATATCATTACGAAATTCCCAATAAATAATAATGAGATTACCAGCAACAATTCGCGCGCGGCTAACTTCTTACTCACTTTTTTAAATAAAATTATCAACTTAAAAAATAATATACAATTTAATAATTCAAATTTTTTTCATAAAATTAAAATATGAATTGGAATATAGTTTTAATACTGTTACAAATATAATAATCATATATTCTGACATGGGAATTCAGGGAAAAATCAGGGATTTATATTAAAAGTAATGAAAAAAATTAAATTTTTAGAATTCATAAGAAAATTCTGAATTTTTGTGTCTTTTTTTGTTTGTCTCATAAACTATGAAATTACCGCGAATTTTAATACAAAACCTTCAATTTTTTCTCTATTTCTGACAATAATTTTTATTAATTACTTAATTCTTGAAGAATTGTAATAAAATTATTACTCAGAAATTATTTAATAAATAATTTTATTTAAATATTTTAAAATTAATTGAATTTTTAAGAATGTAAGTTTATAATTTTCAGAAATATATTAACTTCGAAAAGTTTTAATTTTAAATTTTATAAAATTTCATAGCAGAATTTCCATTATTTTTAACTATAATTTTAATCGAATTCTTAGAAAAATGTAATTATTCTTAAAAATTAAATTAAAATGCGCGAAAAGACTTTAAAATTTGATGATAAAATTTCTTATAAGAATTAAATTTTAAGAAATATTGAATTATTCAATAAATTATTTGTTTTAGGGGAGAGTAGGCTACATTGAACCAGCGTCAACAGTCAACCACTTCAATTTTCTAAGAAATGACTGCGTGAAATTTTTTCTTATTTAATATATAAGTGAGTTTTACGGAAACAAACTATATCCAAAAATTTCGGGCACGTAGGTTTATTATTTATGAAGAAAAACTAAAAAAACTGTTTTTCACGTACAAAACAAAAAATTTTGTGGAAATATAATCAAGTTTTTTTTGAAATAGGAAGTTTTAAAAATTAGTAAACTTGTGATTTATTTCGCTTAGGGTGTCAACTTCAATATTCCGATGTGATAAAGAATTTTAACTCTTACATAAATTTTTTATAAACAATTTTTTTTGTGAATGTCATGTGAATACAGTGAGTGCGGCATCATTGAACCACCCGAAAAAGCAAAGAATTTTCAATTTTAAGAGTTGTAAAGTTATCTGCTCTACTAATTAGTAAGAAAAATACTGGAAGACATGCTTTCATCACAATTGTGAACGAGATAAACTCAAACTGTCACTTTACCTACCTAACCTGACATCAAAATATATTAATCTCCTATATTAACAAATAATAACTCTTTAACAACAATTTTCTATTTTTTTGAGTGAAAAATAAGATTTTTTTCAATGTGTAAGTGGAAATATTATTTTTGAAGTAAATTGTAGTGTTTTATTAGAGGTGGTTCAATGTAGACACACATCCTTCAAAATAAGAAAAGTGTGACTTGTTAGAAAAAAATTAAATTTAATTATTTAATCATAATAATTTGTGTTTGTAACGTGTGTATTAACTAAAGGAGTACTTCAGCTTAATTTTGATACAAAAACCTGATCGAAATTAGTAAAATTTAATCAGTTCTTGGACTTTATAAAATACCCGGTTCAATGTAGCCTACCCTCCCCTAAATATTTAGAAGAATAATGAAATTATCATAGAATTTTCTAATGAAATTGATTTAAAAATGAATTTTAGTTTAAATTTTAGATAATAACTGGGATAATAATTATTAAATATTAAAAGCATTATAACAATTTTTATAAACAAATTGTTTTTTTAAGTCACAAATATTGAAAAAAATTTGTTTGTTTACATATCACTCTTATTTTGTTAGTTGCAATGAATGTTGAGAATAAAAATTGCGAGAAAATTTGTTTAACATTATTATTTAACAATGTTATAAACAATTTTATAAACAAATTAAGAATTGACAATAATTGAAGATAAAAAATAGTGTCTTCTTCCACCGACATTCTTAATTTGTTTATAAAATTGTTTATAACATTGTTAATATAAAAAATATAATAAAACAGTTTTTTCTTTTAATATCCTTTTTTCTATAGAGTTCACATATCTTAAAATTTAAATTTAATTCTAAATATATTTAACAAAGTTATAAACAATTCTTGTAAACAAATTATTTATTTACAATAACTGAAGGTAAAGTGCTAGTATTAGCATTACTCTCACATAGAAATAACATAGAAAAAAGGATATTAAAAAAAACTATTTTCTTAAATTCAATTGTTCTTAAGGGGTTACGCCACCCTGAAATTTTAAAAAAAATTTATTTATTTTTTTTGCTTAATTTCAAAGTTTATATTCTAACGAATATTTTGAGATGTCGCCGAAGACAATGTCTCACTAATTACAAAAGTTATGGTCATTAGAAGTCAGCGCGGTGGGGACGCGCCGAGAGCTGCTGGAAGCAGCGACTTTCTATTTTCGAATGGTCTAGGGGGCCCTTTCATGATTTAGGAAGGGTCCTTTTCATTGTATCCCTTCCATTCTTAAATAAAAAAAATTATGGCCCAGGAATTGCTGATTAAATAGTAAATTGAAAAATTTTCAAGTTATAATACACTAAAGTTCATTTTTTTCTTCTTTTGCGTTTTTCTCGAAACCACAATTTTCGAGACGGTGTACACGATAACTCAAAAACTATTCAATCAATTGACTTGAAAATTAATATACATCTTCCTAAATAGATTTTCCACAGAGTGACGTGGGATTTTTTTGATTGAATAATTTGAAAATTTTTTATCCAATTTTTTATACGGTAATTTTAGCCAAAAAAAAAATGTCAATTTTTGAAGTGCTTCCATTTGCGTAAAAAATTTTTTTTTTAAAATGGCTTCGTCACTCTGTTCAAAATTTATCACTTTTTAAGAAAAATATTGTTTTACTTGTTTCTGACAAAAATTGAACTGCCAATCATGTACACCATCAAGGAGTGCTCCGGAAAAATTGATCCACGCCAATAGTTATATCTCCGCCATTTTTAATTAAAAACAATTTTTTTTTAAATATTTATAAAGCTCAATATATGTACTAAAGCATCAATAAATGTAAAGAAGTCCTACCTGAAACAGTTTTATCAAAAAAATTCCTAAAAAACCATCCGATTTTCATGCGTTCAGGGTGGCGTAACCCCTTAAAATGTAATTTGTTTACAACAATTGTATATAACTTAATTGAAAAATAGTAGTAAGTAAATTAAAGTTTCAAGATACATTAATCCTATAGAAAAAATAATAAAGGAAAAAACGAAATTTTTACATGTTTACTTGTTGTTAATTTGAAATTTGTTTACAACAATAAATTGTTTATAAAGTTGTTAAATAATTGTGGTCAATAATTTTTACCTCCAAGATTCATAGGAAAACAGTAAAAAAGTCGGTGGAAGAAGACACTATTTTTCAGCTTTAATTTTTTCAATTCTTAATTTGTTTATACAAGTTATTTATAACATTGTAATATTGTAAATAATAATGCTAAACAATTTTTATCCTCATCATTAATTGCAACTATCAAAATAAGAGCGATATGTAAACAAACAAGTTTTTTTCAATATTGGTGACTTTAAAAAAAAGAAATTTGTTTATAAAAATTGTTTAAAATATTGTTAAATTAGTCATAGTGATAAAATTTTATCATGGATGTTATTTGTATAATAATTTTAGTTATTTCTGATAAGAAAAAGTGTCTAGAATTTATTTTTCTGTCTATTTAAAAGTTTAGATATTTTGTCTGCCATTTTTGAGCCGCCATTTTGAATTTCGAAAAAATTAAAATTTCTAGCAATGCCTAATTGAAAGGTCATACATTTTGGACGTGATATTTTGTGAGTCACAATTTTTCCTGACGCGATTTCCAATCGAAAATATAATTTTAATGAAACAAAAACCAAAAAAATGTTCTGCTTTTTTTTGTTTGAACAATCATAACTTTTAATTCTTAAGTTAAAAGTTAAATTGTCTTGCAGATTCTGAAAGAGG